ACTCTGGAACAGCCGGAACTCAGCCGATGTGAACTGAGCCCCGTTATCAGAGACGACTTCCTCTGGGATGCCCCATCTTGCGAATAAGCTCTTGAGCTTACCAATGACTTGTTTCGACGTGATTTCTGGTAAGTACATCACTTCCAAATACCTAGAGTAATAGTCGATCACGACCAAATATCTCTTTCCTTCCAACTCACACAAGTCCATCCCAACCTTTTGCCAGGGTCTAGCTGGCAATGGAGTAGTGATTAATAGTTCCGTCTGTTGTGTAGGACGGTTTGTCTGGCAAAATTGGCAAGTAGAAACCTCTTGTGCTATGTCTTGCCCTATTACTGGCCACCACAGACATTTTGGCACGTTCCCTACACTTAGTAATACCCTGGTGACCTTCATGGATCTTGCTCAGTATCTCTCTTCTCCACTCGGTAGGGATTACCATACGATTTCGATACAGGAGCAGATCCTTTGACACGGATAGTTCACTCCTAACCGAGTAGAATGCCTTTACATCCTCTGGCACCGACTGAATCCTCTTCGGCCACCCCCCCCTTTGTGAGTCCAATCGCCCTCTGTAGCGTTGCATCGCGTACTGTCGCTCTTGTTATACGCTTGAGTTTCTGACTGGCTATGGGCCTCTGTTCGTCAGCGCTGTCCACAAACTGCTGAACCTCCAGAACTGTATCTGGCACCTCTATGCTTATTAGTGGTGCTCTTGGCAGTTTGTCTGCAACCACAAGCTCCTAACCAAGTTCATATTCTGATCACGGAGCAAATCGCCATGAGACGCATCAGCAACCTCTGCACCTCAGCGCGTTTGTCATATATCCTGTTTATTGATCAGCTGGAACCAAATGGCTTATGGTCTGTCACCAGTTTAACTCGCTCAGTCCATTACAGATACTGTGTAACTTTTCGCATGCTCACACACACACCAAGCACTCTTTCTCAATCTGAGTATATCTAGCCTCAGCAATTTGTCAATGTGCGAACAGTATGTCACAGTAAGAGTCTATCTCCTGTATTGCATAAACTGCTGGCATCTGCACTGACCACAGTTGGCTTGTTTACATCATAGAATGCCAAGACAGGTGCTTTTGACAACATGTCATTATCCTTCAAAAAACGTCTGCTCTTGTGTGTGACTCCACTGGGAAAGTCGTGTCCACTTCAGTAGATTCAGATATAGGCTTTATAAACCGTCGACAGCTCTGCAAATATCTTCCAATAATGACCATGCCTATAAAACGTCTAACACCTGCTACATCTCGCGGTCGCGATATCAAATCACTGCTTTTACTTTTCCTTTTGCTTGATCCCTTCTTCTGAGTATACCGGAAACAGTACCGCCCAAACGTGTGATGAATGTGATGTATCTTGAACTCTCAGGTTCTAGTGGCATTGATAAAACCCACTCGACGTCACCAACTTTCGAAAAACACACGTTGCTCTACCAGCTTAGGATTATATCATCGAAATGTTCAGTATGAATCGCTCCCGACGCACCGATTCATTCAGTTTCTTCAAATCCACGCAGATGCGATATTCCCATTGCGTTTAACAACAGGAATCATAGGGGCGCACAGTCTGTCGGCCACAGTAAAACTGGTTCGATTGACCCAACGCTCACCAATATATTCCAGCTCTTTCTTAGACTGACAGTATCGGAAAATGCACTCTGCGGCAGTGTTAATAACTGTTATGAAACAGCATTTTTCTTCAGCTGATTTTTACCGGGTCGCACTCTAAACAAACCAATATCTCAAACAATGTTCATCTATCTCGTTGACTCGTCTCACTAGGCCATTTGCGATGCCACCTGTCGACCTAACAGATATTAACCTGTGCCCGTAAAGACGACTACTGTAAAGCTGTACCATTTCCCTTTATGGCTTGTCTGCATCACAAACTGTCCCTTACATGTTAGTTTCCTCCTGGAACTGGACAGTATCGTGTTTGTCGCTTCAATACTGGTCTGTTATGCAAGCCACTGTACGTTCTTGCTGACATGACGGTGATGTTCTCCCAGTATCTATTGAAATCCACCGATTTGCCGGCCAATTTCAGTTGCACTTGCCATGGGTCATCCCGACCCTGAAGTGATTTATCCTATAAATAGCCTATTATAGCTCTCACTCTACCACTGTCATTCGCATGTCGTGACTCACCTCATTTTTCCGTTTGTCCGAACAGACAGCTTGGAAATGTCCCATCTTTTTACACTTCATGCAGCGCTTTCCTTTGCTGGGGGCAACCTGTCACCCGACCATGGCTCGACCCACACCTGTACATTATATTACACATACTGTGTTGGTTACTCCTGTTCCATAGTAAACCCTGTCTGTTGCTCCATATGCATCTTGTCACCGTAGTAGCGCTTACTCTGCTGCTGAAACTTTAGCTAAATGGTCGTACCACTTCTTCCAGATCCTCTAGCTTCATGCCTTGACCAGTTACTTGGCATTCACCTGCTCTGTCTGTCTATTATTTCGAGGCTCTTGCAAGGGTCAGATCAGTGGTCAGTTGTAATTCTCTGACAGACTTTTATCAGTAATGCCAATTACTAACCTGTCCCTGATGTTCTCCTCTTTGCCGTGCCAAAGCTCACAATGTTCCGCCAGTTCATATAGACTGCGTTATTGAAACATTCTGCCGTCTCCCTAGCCTTGTTGTCCTCCGCAGGTGGAAACTGTGCACTTCCGTGAATTATGTTCCGACGTGCCAAGTGTTCATCAAATTTCGTGTACAAATACTATACATTAATTAGATGTAATTAATCTAAGATGATTACTAAGAAAATACTCAATACGTAATGATCAAACTACTACATCATACAAGATATCGATCTAGTTATCGAGCACTCGTCGAACTACTTATTATCGAACTATAATTATCGAAATACTTATCCAGTTACCCGTCAAACTAATTTTCGATAAAGATCGATTCGTCGAACTTGATATGGATGTAGTTATCAAACACTCATCGAACCACCCATCAAACTGCGTATCGAACTACTTAT